TAACTTGCTGCCAGGCGTGGATTAGCAGCAATAGGCCTTGTTAATTCCTAGGAGTCTTCGCTAAATGCTAGCCGAGTCCCAACACAAAAATCCAGAAAAATTAAATAAACGGTCTGAGTATGCAGTGAGCTCAACTTCTGCTTATGATTTCCAAATGATAAACGAGTAGGCTTAAACAAGCAATCCCTTCTTGCAAGCAGGAAGAAAATACCATCTGCCACATATACGAAACCAACACTTAACTCTTGTTTCTCTTTGGGAGTGACCGCTGGGACCACCGCTACTGCAGCAACAAAGTCAAATCCTCTCACTCTTCTTATCACAGCATAGGCTGGGTAAGGAGCCGTCCCTGCACCAGAGCTCACCCTGCGACACAACTGGTGGTTGCTCACCTTTATTGCCTATTCTGGCTGTGCTGAACTGGTTCAGCTCTGGACCAGTTCCCCATTTTCAGAGGCTCCTCATCCATGACCTGGCCACTGAACCTGGATGAAGACGTCCGCAAAGCACGGCACCAGAAAAGTCCCCGAATGAGATGAAACGTATCAGCATGCAAAACAGTACAACTAAAACACAGCATCATTTTTTAGAAGAACTTCTGAAAAACTTCAGTGCGAATGACTGAAAACTTACTAGTGTTTCACAAAACAACAATGGGTGGAGCAGGCAGCCAATAAACCTCTAGAGGCTATTTAATCATAGCATTTAACATTTGAAGATACTGTTATACTTACGGCTAGGAAACCAGTCTTGCAGAACTGAGAATTTTACCTGGAAATGGACTGCAGATCAGACGTAATGGGATGAATTCATTGTATTAATTCTTTCAAAGTTTCCACTATCTACTTACTACAATATCTTTATTGGAAATAATTGCAGATGTTCTAGTGCCAATACAATTACTTTTAAATTGTCAAAAGACAAGGAAGTATTGTGCTGAAATTCCCTTTCAATAGATATTTTCAAGGGCTATCTAGTCCTGCAATTTAACATTCACTTCTTTATTCCCTTCCAAATCTTCCAAAATCCTTCACAACAAAACACAAGTAGGATTCTGCAGATTCTATTCTGAGTAGATACGACACATATAATGAAGTAAGTTGATCTTCCTAAACACCTAGATTTCTAAAAACAAAAACTAAGAAACCTGAAAATCAGTTTTAGTACCAACCTTTTCCCTTCCAGTAGCAGCTGCTGTTCTTTCTACCCTAAATATACTTATGGGTGAACTTTTGGACCAGTAGACCCTGGATACTGTTTTCAGAATGACTGAAGTACACTAAATCTCATTGACTTTCAGTTTTGCTCAGTGTGGAATGGCCCCCTGAACAGTAAATGACAGATAGGTCTATTGTCCACAGTAGGACTTTAAAAGGCATCAGTGCTTTTTTGACAGGACTCATTTTCCCACCTAAAACGTTCTGTCAAACAGAAGTTGGCAGAATCACTATGAAAATCCCTTCTTCTTGAATCAGAATTGTTGAAAAAGAGCTGCTGGAAAGATATTTGGTGGGCCCCTGGACCTGGTATGTCATCACACAGCCAAGAAAATTGACACATTTTTTTTCTTGCTGATAGATTTAGGAAGAATCCAAAGCTTTTGAACTCCTCCCTGTGAAAAAAGGACTAACCCACAGCACTACTGCCATTTAGGCTAATTACCAAGAAGGAATAAGTCTCCTTTGTTTTATCTCTGTGTTGCCATTTAAATCTATTCTGAAAGCGTGT